AAACTAAAAATGTATGGTGGTAAAAGATTATACAATTTAATTTTAATTTAATCTGGCTCAGTAACTCTATCATATGAGGAAACAGAAACGGGAAATTATAGTAAAGGCTGAAATCATAAACAATTGGGTAATTTACATAATAATAACTTCATATATCTTTGAAGAATAATTTTTTTATATACTCAGTTTCTTTCAGTTTAACATGTTTCCTTTTCATTTTAGAATTTTTGGATTTAATTAAGGATTTCTGTTATTCTAAAAAACACTAAATGCATTTAGAATGTTCAGAAAAGTTAGTATTTAGTGACACACCAAACAACAAAATCTAGAAATGGCAAAACTTTTAGAATTTAGAGCAGGCACTGGAAGCAGAATTTAGAATCCTCAGAGACTGCATCAGGTGGGAAATGCCTAGTGCCAGCTATGTGTATGATGCATAAAGACATATTACACACATGTCCATAAATTAAGGATAATTCGGAGTCACATGGAAATCGAACTCCAAAATAAATATATCACCTGTAAAATCACTATGCACATCTTCAAGAAGGTGGGAAATGCCTAGTGCCAGCTATGTGTATGATGCATAAAGACATATTACACACATGTCCATAAATTAAGGATAATTCGGAGTCACATGGAAATCGAACTCCAAAATAAATATATCACCTGTAAAATCACTACACACATCTTCAAGAATCATATGCAAATTTCAGGAAGTAACCAGATGACTCCGATGGTACGTCACAATGACGAGAGTGTAAAAGAGTGATATATAAGGAATACAGGCAAAGAAGTAAAATTGTTCGCAGGCGCTTTATAATCATTTCAGTGCAATAACATAATAGTTATGACAGAAAGGACGCATTTGGATGATTTTTTACGTGGTTGAATTATCGGCTGTCTGGAATGTGGGCGTACCCAACTGGAAGTATCGGACGAACTTGGAATTGCCCAGAGTGTCATCTCCAGGCTTTGGCAACGATTCCAAGATGATGGTAATGTGAGTAGACGTTACAGCACAGTCGCCCCACAATTACAACGCCGAATGAGGACCGGTATTTGGCAGTTACTGCCAAAAGAAACAGGCGGAGCACAGCCTCAGACCTGTCTCGTCAGCTCTCTTCAGCCACTGGTATGACAATTTCAAGGCAGACCGTATACAGACACTTATGCTCGTAGACCTGTCAAATGCGTTCCACTTACTGCAACTCACTGTCGCGTGCGGTTAGCCTGGAGTAGAGAGCATGCATTGTGGACAAAGCAACAGTGGGCTTTTGTGATGTTTTCCGACGAGTCCAGGTTTAGCTTGCAGTCTGATTCTCGCCGGACTTTCATATGGAGAGCTCCAGGTACCCGTTACCACCAAGAAATCATCATTGAACGACACCGTTACGGTGGTGCAGTAGTGCTCGTTTGGGGTGGAATTATTCTGGGTTCCAGAACTGACCTGCATGTTGAAGTTGGAACCATGACAAGCCAAATCTATGGGGACATCATTCTGGAACAACATGTACGTTTGTTTCGGGGCGCCATGGGTGCACAATTTGTGTTTATGGATGACAACGCTCGTTCTCACCATGCAAACATCGTAAGTGAATGCCTTCAATCGGAGGATATCACCCGTATGGACTGGCCAGCATTCTCACCGGACTTGAATCCAGTAGAGCGCGTGTGAGACATGCTTGGCTGACGAGTTGCAGCCCATCAACCTCCTCCTACATGTCTACCGGAACTTCGGAGAGCACTGCTTTTTGAGTGGTGTAATATCCCCCAAAATCAGATCGATAATTTGATACTCAGCATGCCTAGGCGTTGTACGGACTGTATTGCATCATCTGGGAGACATACAATGTATTAACAATCAAACCAACCATGTAATATTGTTTTTTTGTAAATAGTTTTTTTTTTTTTTTTTTTTTTTTTTTTTTTTTTTTTTTTTTTTTTTGAATTTGCTCCATGGAGAAAAAATCGCTAATTTTTTTAATAATATCAAACATATAGCATCTTTTTTTGCTCTTTGCCTTTTGTTTAATAAATAAGCTTTACAAATAAGTCAAATTTGTTTTGCTTCTAACTCTTCCTTTGCCTGATTTTACATTATCCTTAATTTATAGACATTAGTGTAGATGAATGTTTTAAATTATAGGTTTTCAATTTCTTTATTAATAAAAAAAATCCCTTTCTATGTGATAAGATTACAAGCATTTTTGACATTTTCCATGCTTGTGTCTAGTGAAAAGTAGAGAAAATAAAGGGAAGATTAACATGTTAAGATTCTAGTATCGGAAATAAAGCATTCAAATATTATGTTTTCATTGTTCTTCAGACGTTCTCCAAAAACTAAGAAATTCATTGCAAACTTTCTGTAAAATGCATTCATTATGTGTTGATACCATGGAGACATTTTTCATTTTGTCACATATTTCTCGAATCTCCTATAATGGTGGGTCTATAAATCTTGCCTTCAAATCCTTCTTTCTTCTAAACTTTCCAGGTTCTTCCAAACTTCTTCAATGCAACTGCTGTTGTTGTTGTTGCTATGTCTAATGTCCCGAAGAAAAATTACCTCTACCAATTTCTGTAACAGCAAACAAGGCAGAAATATTTTGGAAAAAAAAAAAAAAAAGGAGGGAAAAAGTGTAAAATTAATTTTATAGAGAAAACTGATGCATATTCTGAGAATTTTGAATATTCTGACACAATTACACGGGAAAAACTCTTACAATGAAAAAATTAAAAAGAAGACATTTTTAATTAATTACATAGCTCATTTTGCTTTTGCTAAGAGCTGTTTCGTTAATTGTGCTTTATAGCATTATACCTTGTTTACTTTTCAGATTCAAAATATTGTATAATAAGTTGCCAAAATGAAACTTTATAATATGACGAAAAATAAAAATGTTTTATTTTAATGTTATTTTTTAAATATAATTTCAATATATTACCATTATTTTAATGAAATTAATCAATGTTAGGATGTTTAAAAAAATCGTCGAAAAATTCGTAAATCTCAGAATTAAAAATTATCCATAGATACTGATCTCAAAATCGCCAAAATGTTGAAAAGTTGGCAAATTTAGAACCGTTTAATAAAAAAATTTGCATTCCTCAAAGCAAAAAGTTGTTTAAGAGCTCTTTATTAGAGAAAATGAATTTCAAAATGCTTGTGTTCCATTTCTTGCTTACAAACTCAAATATCCCATCATTTATATTAGAAATAGAAACAAATTATAACTCATGAACCCATTCAAAAGATAACCATATATACATCAATCAATCGCCAAAAATATTCCTCCAAAATGCTAATTCACACTCAAAATGGCAGTCGTAAAAACAGGCAGAAATTTCAGATGATTAAAATTAAGGACCTTCTGCTGATTTTGGCCAAAATTAAGGACGCTTAAGGACCAAAAGTTGATTCCAAAAAATCTAAGGACCGTACGAACCCTGTACAAATCAAAAAATAACTCGCACTATATCTATAAATTAAATTTCTGTCAAAAAAAAACCTTGATCTTTTTTTACCAGTTTTTCTGAAAGAGGTTCGCAAAAATACCTTTACTTTCTTTTAATCACACACAAAAGTATTAGACTACTACAAAGTTAATATCTTTATTAACGCTGCACACAGCCTCAGCTGTTGTTACGATGTGACTGGATATTTTACAATTCATATGATTAAAAAAGCTAGAGGCAGTTTGATGACTAAAACAACACTCACGCTGATCAATTGCAGAATCTGGAGTGCATTTCGCCTCATGTTACAATACCTGGTTTCTGCACAAAAGACCTCGCCCTGGTAAACCAAACCAAAAACTGGCTGTAAAGGCTGAAGTGCCCTCCCTGGTATATATATATGTAGTTTTGATGCCACTACCAAATATCAGTTGCAGAGTGTCTTTTGTCTTGTGAAGCAATACATTTCTCAGACCTCAGCATGACTGGTGGTGCAAATAGTATCATCCCTCTAAACAGATGATGTCACCAGGCAACAAAGTGAGTTAATGTCAAAGACCATCCCAGGCAAACATGTCATTTTATACAAAACTTCCAACCATGGACCTTTCAAATACTCAAAGTGCTTTCAACTGAAAGTTAGATACTGGAAAAGGATTATAGAGAGTTCAGTTATTGGGGAGGCTCAGTTCATTTTTGTCTTGTGAAGCAATATATTTCTCAGACCTCAGTATGAGTGGTGGCGCAAGTAGTATCATCCCTCTAAACAGATGATGTTACCATCTGTTTAGAGGTTGAGGCAACAATGTGAGTTAAATGTCGGGGACCATCCGAGGCAAACATGCAATTTTATTGAAAACTTCCAACCATGGACCTTTCAAATATTCAAAGTGCTTTCAATTGAAAGTTCAGATACAGGGGAAGGATTGTAGAGAGTTCAGTTATTAGAGAGCGTCTATAAACAGTAAAAAGAGACATGTATTTCCTACAGATAACTATGTGTCTTGGTTATTTTGGTCGACTGTAATGTCAACAACTTTTGCTCAAATTTATTTTATTAGTGTATACAACTACAGAAATCCATATTTACTATTCCTTTAATTATTTTTAACCCTATATTCCTGTATGTATAACCCTATATATATAAAGAAATTTTCAATTTCCTACAACTGAAATGTACTTTCAATTGCATTGGTACTTTTGTTTCACACTGGTTAATTTCAGAACAACTTTTATGCATACTATTTCCATATATAATACTACAGCTGACAGATGAAATGCTATTCAAACAGATGATTAGAAGAAAACTATTAAATGAAAGCAGGCAGGCCTCTTATATATAAATCAGATACATGTAGTATTAAAAAAAAATTGAAGCTTATTGTGATGCTGTTAAAAAGAGGAAAGGCAAAGACATAATGCAAAGATACATAATAAAACATGAATAAAAAGTATAAAATTTCTTTTCTATGTAAATGCACAACTACCAACATAACTTAGGCATATGTATTTATTTATTTTCACTAAAATGTATACAATACCTGAGCACATCAGTAGTCAGATTCGAATCAAGGGGATGGTAGTTCCTTGTATGTGGATTAGCATGAAGCAAATCATCGGAGCTTTGCTGCACAGATGGCGAATGTATCAATAAAGCAGACTGTTAAAGTAAGGAAAAGAATAAAGTCATATACCCAGCAAATCAAACCCCATACTAAAACTTACATTAAATTGAAAAATTAGATAAAAATAAATGATTTCATAGCATTGGATCAATGGTACATAAGATAACAAAAACAAATAATTTATATATATAACAGCAAAAGCATAAAGGAAGAGGGGGGAAATGTATATTAAATTCTTCTATAAGCTTTTAAAATTTAGTCCCACAAGTACAAACTTTACGATTATAATTTTGCTTAATTTACTATATTCAAGCACAATCAAAATACATAACAATTATTAAAGAATATTTTATTTAATGTATTAGCACCTTTCATTTATGATTTTTTTTTTCAATTTAATATCTTTTTACTTTTATATTTAAATACTGTATTGTTACAAAAAAATTCACTCAAAAAGTTAAATACATCAAAAAATTTAATTATTAATTATGAAAAGAACCGTTTCTCATAATAATACTATTTGGCATTGGTTGACGTGCATTTTGACACCTCTTCTAACTTGTTGAATAAGTTATGCATTCTTGGTCATTCTTCACGTAACATTTTTTAAAGCAAGATTTTAAAAGTGTCATTACAAACACAATTACAATCTGAATATATTTATGGACAAAGATTATAAATATGAAACAAAAAATATAAAATAACCATAACTTAAAAACCCTTGAGAATATTTAGCTTAAAACCCACAATACCAAATTAATAAAAATATTATTACCTTAAGAAAAACAGGGCAAACATTTTGTAGCTGTGGACATGTTGACCAAAACCATTTGGGTAATGGTCCCGTTTTGGCTGTGGAAACGTAATAGCCTAGTGCAAGTGGTTGCTGCAGAAGTTGAAGAGGTTCTTCCTGAGTGTCCATTAATAAGTTTCCTGATCCCTAAAATAACAAAGGACAAAATAAATTATAAAAGACATGGTTTGTATCAGTTTCTACAAGGAGACACACAGTATACACATAAAAAATGTTAACAAATGTTAGGTCTATGAAATTTTTATTTTGAAAGCATAAACATTTTAATATTGTTTACAATTTTGTAAAAAGACAATAAAGCTGTAAAAAGAACATTATTTTAAGAATTTACTATGCTTTAATGGTACAACATCCTGATTCGCCGTTTCATATCACGTGACCGCAACTGATCTCAGTGAAACTATGCTACAAAAATCTAATTCTCTTAATAATTATCTACATTAATTTCAAGTTAAATCTTAATTTGGAATACAAGTTTAAGTGCAAAAATTATTTCAATTCATACGAATAGCTTACTCAGAAATTATGCAAAACAGCAGTGCATTCTCATTAGAAATGGTGAATTTAACCCTTGACTTTGCCTTTTCTGTGTTTTCCCCCTTTGGGTGAGTGATGTGATTGCATCCTAATTGACTTAATTACTGTGAATGGTCATAAAATTGAACTATCTGGTAAAAATTTTATGTAATTGTATGCCAGTATTGAAAGAAACAATCAATCTGATATGAAATGGCTGCGACTTGTTTTTGAAAAGGAGACGTAAAAGGTTGTAAAAGGTACTCTTGGCATCAGTTGTACCATTTTTGGCGACTTTATTGCTTGCATCGGCAAAATGAGAAAGTACCAACAATTCACTTGATGGTAAAAGGATTTCCCTGGAAGTATAATAAGACAACCACTGTGGCATAATATGGCTTTCGAAATTCATATTAACAGCTTAGAAATTTCTCAGTTTATATGAAAAAAAAAAAAAAAGAAAAAAAAAAGCAGAATCTTCACATATAGTCGCTCTTCACTTTCATACAAGAACTGCCTGCTTAAAGTATGACTTCCTAAAGAAAAAAAGAAGCTTCTATTTATGTTGCACATTGGGAAAACCATCGTACACCAATCCTTTCTATCATAGGAATAGAGCATGGAAGCAATAAACAACATTCTGAAGATTTAATCATGGACCACTTACAACAAAAAATTATATAACAAAAAAAAAAAAAAAAAAAAGGTTTTAAAAATTGTTTAAATGTCATAAATTATATAAAATTTATTTATTGCCCACTATACAATTAAAAGCAAACAAACTGTGCAAGTTTACCCTATTTGGTCCCCCATGGTGAAATGGTGACTGCCTTCCACCCATTCCACAGCTTGGACTACCAGGTTGTGAGATGGAATCCCTACGTGGAGAGCCAGGACTCTGGGGAGGGCTCTCTGTCCAACGGAAGATATCATTGATGTCCTGACCTACAGCAATATCGTCGTCGTTAAGTGCTTGAAAAATATCATCATCTCCTAGGGTAGTGGACAATGGATCAATATGTTCCTGCTGGAATGTAGCTTGAGATGACTATAAAAAAAAAAGACAAAATTTGCAGCATTAGAAAAGAAAATTTGAAAATTCATAATTTTAATCATTTTAAAATCTTTTCTTAATAAAATTACTCTATTATAAATGAGTTTTCACTATGCCAAATTTATTTTAAAATTTGCCAGATAGCATAGCTCTAAAAATATAGGCTTTGAAATATAAACAAAGAATATTGAGTACATATTTATGCTTATTACATTCACTACACACACACATCCATGTTATAAACCCAAAAAATGCATATACTTTCAATACCATGCTGGCTGGTCTGCAGTGAATAACTTCAACATAATGTTAATCCATTAACTAAAACCATCGAAACACCGATCATATTTACTTGAATGATGCATAACAATAGTAGTAAAATCAAATTTTATTTTTAATACCAGTTCCTGATGACCAATACGGGCATCTATCTTTCACAAGACATTCTAAATTCGCACCCATCATACTTACTACTTACACAAGACAACTAAAAGTTAATTATGAATCTATGGTTAACAAATTATGTGAATGCTATTTTAAAAACATTACTAAAAATGCATTTTTACAAACTCATAATACAAATGAAAGCTGAACTATGAACATTTGACTTTGGATAAAAAAACCCTTCAGATATCTAATATCACTTGCTTCAAAATATTATGTCAAAAATCCTTCAGAATCACATATCATGTATACATATAAAGGAAGAAACAGAAAAAAACTCTCCTCTTATTTATGAAAATAGCATTTTAAATAAAATTACAATGAAAACTAGATCAGAATTTTGAAAATATCAGTTAATTTGTTCTTTAATTTTACTAGGTCAGAAAAAAAAAAAAAAAAAAAAAATTTCTACAATACTCTCTCTCTCTATATATATATCTATTGGGTTTTAATGAAACCCCGCCACTGCAAATAGTTGGCATGTTTAATCATATTTTATTCAAATGCTTTTTGGCATTTGAAAGAGAGACGTGCTTTAGAACACTGTGCTGTGAAATTTGTAAAAAAATATGGTTATCATTAAATACAAGATGTCTGAAAAGGAATGATGCCACTACCATATTAGAACCAAAATTTGCTTCCAGTTCTGTTGCAAAAAGTCAGCTACAGAATGCCACCAAATCATGTGTACAGCTTTAGGTACTCATGTTGTATCATATGACACTGTGAAGGTTTGGTATCAAAAGCTCAAAAATAAGGACTATGACATTGAAGAAGCAGAGCACTCTGGCTGGCCAACTGATGTTGATGAGCCAGCCTGCAAGAAGTTGTGGAAGAAGATCTGTATGCAAACACTCAAGAGCTTGTTCAGAAATTAGACGTTTTTGCCATGTTCATTAGTCACACTATGCATCACATAAACTTGACGTTCAAAAACTGGGTGCCGCATGAGCTGACTAAACAAGCAAGAACAAAATTCTAGACAAATACAAACCTATTGACAGCAAGTATGTTAAGAATGTCGTTAGCTACCATGTTTTTGATAAAATTCAAGCTTAAAAAAAGTTTTTATAGAATAAGCTTTCGTTTAATATGAATAATAGATTAAATAATTCTTTTTACAGATATCGTGAATAACAAAAGCATGGGACACCCATGATAATTTTTAAATATAATGGCTTAAACATTTGAAAATTAAATTCAATAAATAGATTTTGGTATTTAGGTACCCCATGCTTTTATTATTTGCAAAATAAAATTGTAGATGAACAGTCACACTATGCATCACATAAACTTGACGTTCAAAAACTGGGTGCCGCATGAGCTGACTAAACAAGCAAGAACAAAATTCTAGACAAGATCGAAAAGTGGATTGACTTCAAGAACACAGGCTGAAAAGGGGGGTTGGCCATTATTAGTTAGGTTGCATCAATTTAGATTTTCAACACGTTTGCTACTGATGCATGGGCACCATCTTGCATAGACTGACAATATATTGTATAATAATGCCCAAAACAAATTCCAATATGAGAATTTTGGGTTGTTTTTATCAAAAATATGATTTTAATATTATTTTAATAATTTTAATACTATCTGAACCGCAAGTCAGAAACTGAGACCATGTGCCACAAATAGCAGTCATAACTACTTAACATGATGGCAGTTGCTCTGGGCTTCACAGAGAAGTTATATATAGACTATGCCTTCACCACAGTCCTACATGAATCATTGGTTGATTAGTGGAAACCACATGGCCCATATACAAACCTATTGACAGCAAGTATGTTAAGAATGTCGTTAGCTACCATGTTTTTGATAAAATTCAAGCTTAAAAAAAGTTTTTATAGAATAAGCTTTCGTTTAATATGAATAATAGATTAAATAATTCTTTTTACAGATATCGTGAATAACAAAAGCATGGGACACCCATGATAATTTTTAAATATAATGGCTTAAACATTTGAAAATTAAATTCAATAAATAGATTTTGTTATTTAGGTACCCCATGCTTTTATTATTCGCAAAATAAAATTGTAGATGAACAGTGTAAACAGAGTTATTTAATCTACTATTCCCATGAATAAATTATTTTTCTTTTTTTAGTGCATTAATTGTCATATGCATTTTAAGCAAAAGCTTAATCTGTAATAACACTTTTTTAACTGTATTTTAATTTCTGTTTTTTAGTCTGACTCGCAACTTACGAATGATGAAAGTTTTAGTCATCATTAACATGTCAGCAATAAATAAAGTTACAAAACAAAGAAAAATAACTGAACGTCATTCAGAGAATGAAGAAATCACTTTGAGTATTCAGATTCGGAAGTTGGTCACAATAACAATGTTGCAAGAAGCATTTTATTTGAAACTAAAATCAAAAAATGAATATTGCCAATTCCAGGGTTGCCACTCAAACAGGAGAATGAAATTCCCTGACTTTTCCAGGTTTTCCAGGTGTGTTTCAAGAAAATTCCAGTCTATCCGCGTAATGTACGTTGGCTGTGCTAAGAGGTAAATTAATTATGGTATTACTTGTATTGTGTAGCAAATTCACTTAATTATTCAATAAATCCCAGAGGACATTTATTCTTAATTATTCTTGGTATACTTTGATAATTTTGGTGAACTCATTGGCAGCATAGCAAAGTGCAACTCAACTAACAAAAAGACCATGCTTTGTATCTGTTGGGATTACCATGGTATTTATCCACACAGAGTATCTGGAAAAAGGCAAAACTCTCAACAGTAAGGTGTACAGTGAAATGCCAGTGCGTGTTGACGCTTCCATCAAGGGAAAACATCGAACTGAGTTCCAGTGTAAAAAAGGCAATGTTCCATCAACATACGCACACCACATCTGCATTCACTGGCTGGACTCTATACGGACTCGGGCGGGATCATTTGCCACACCTACTATATAGCCTCGACACTACTCCTCCGGACTTCTACATTTTTTTTACACCTGCAGTTATATCTTGCTGGTGCTACCTTCCATTCTGCACAGGACGTTCGAAATGAAGTTGACCTATTTGTGACTCACGGCCACCAAGTTTCTGGGGTGAAGGCTTTGAAAACCTACTAAAAATGTTGTCAGAAAATCAGAGATTCAAATCTACTACTAATGATTACTACTTGCACTTCTTGACTTAGCCTCTAATTTTATTGAGAACATTTTTTGGCAGAAAACTTTTGTTACAACCAGATATATTCAAAAGTCTAAGAAACAAATTTTTATTTTATAAGTCATTACAGGAACCTTAACTAAATGCTCTGCATAAGTAATAGGTAGAAAATGCTGTTTGTTGTTGGATGTAAGCATGCACAGCCAACATTTTGAGTCTAGCTCAAAATTTTCCAATGAAATATGGGAGCTTGAGATACTTAAATTTAGGCTAAACTTTTCTCAAAAATATGGCTCAGCATTTAGTAGTTTAATATTATTATTTCTTAAGGAACTAAAGAGGTGGAAAATTCACATGAATAACTACTACTGTCCTGTTATTTCTCTGATTCCAGGTGATCTAGCATGGCACTTGTGTTCTACAAAGAGTGATATAGTTACAAGACTGAGTGAAGCTCCACATCATACTTTCGACATGAAATATTTTTGTGAGGTTTACCCATGATAAATTTTAATCACAAATATATTATAATTTTGTCTGTTGATTTAATCATTCACAGAGAAAATAATTCTGTCATTGAAGTATTCTACATAGAAATCATATAGATATCCTAGCTAGACTCTACTACAAATTGAAAGTTATCTTTATTTAAGTTTTGGATAATTTAAGTCTCATACAGACAATATGTGTAACAACAGTACAACTGAGCTTCAGCCAGATCTCCAGTTTTCAGATATTGCCTGAAGTATACTGTAGCATGGATTCTTCATGACACCAGCTTCAATAAATAATACATATTCCAGCATATGCCTAATGTAATGACTACTATTCATTTTTTTCAATAATTTGGCTATAAAATTATAAGCAATGTTAACTGTGCTAAGGAAACAGCTCTTAAAGCATCAACAATAACACAAGAGCTTCTAGAATTCAAAAGGAATAACATGACTGAACAAATGGATACAGAAATAGTAACTCATTATTAGTTAGGTTGCATCAATTTGGATTTTCAACACGTTTGCTACTGATGCATGGGCACCATCTTGCATAGACTGACAATATATTGTATAATAATGCCCAAAACAAATTCCAATATGAGAATTTTGGGCTGTTTTTATCAAAAATATGATTTTAATATTATTTTAATAATTTTAATACTATCTGAACCGCAAGTCAGAAACTGAGACCATGTGCCACAAATAGCAGTCATAACTACTTAACATGATGGCAGTTGCTCTGGGCTTCACAGAGAAGTTATATATAGACTATGCCTTCAGCACAGTCCCACATGAATCATTGGTTGATTAGTGGAAACCACATGGCCCATATACAAACCTATTGACAGCAAGTATGTTAAGAATGTCGTTAGCTACCATGTTTTTGATAAAATTCAAGCTTAAAAAAAGTTTTTATAGAATAAGCTTTCGT